TTATAGAGGAAAGAAGAAGACAAGCAGCTGAGACAAGCACTAATTCCAGCAGGAGTAAAAGGAGTGATTTTCTTGAGATACTTATGGATGTTGATACCTTATCTGAAGATGAAAAAGTGAGTTTCATCTTGGATTCTCTATTGGGTGGCTATGAGACTACCTCTCTCTTAATCAACATGGCAGTTTATTTTCTAGCTCAATCACCTTCTGCATTACAACAATTAAAGGTGCAACCTTTTTTATTTTTTTATTTTTATATATATTTAATTCTTTAAGATTTTATTTTCTCCTTTTTGGCCAAGACACATAAATGGTATTTAATTAATTATTATTTTTGGTTCTTTTTTATTATATAAAGGTGGAGCATCAGAACATTAGAAGAGGGAAGCAGAAAGATGAGTACTTGAACTGGGAAGATTATAAGAAAATGGAATTTACCCAAAATGTAAGAAAATCCTCATTTATTTAGCATTGTTTTGCCAAAATTAAGAAAGGAGAGGCGGAAACTCACACACATAGGTACCATGGCAACTTGAATCCATGACCATTTGAGAGCACACCAAAAACCTCGACAATCAACTAACACCCATTGCCTTGGTTTTATTTAGCATTGTTTAGTTTTATTTTCGTGACAGACATTTTTTACAAATTGTTTTTCTTTTATTGGCAGGTGATCAACGAAGCTCTCAGATGTGGAAACGTTGTAAAATTCGTGCACCGAAAGGCTCTCAAAGATGTGAAATTTAGAGGTAAAAGTAGTATTAAAATATGCCTAAGCACAACCAAAAGCACGCAGAACTTTTTTGTACTTTGGCACTTTGCAGTATGTGACGATCGATCTGTTTAATTAAATGAAAAAAATAAGTGGTCTTTTTTTCTTTCTTTTTTCTAATGCAACTTTCTGCAGATTATTTAATTCCATCTGGCTGGAAAGTTCTACCCGTCTTTAGTGCAGCTCATTTGGACCCTTCCCTCCATGCAAGTGCTCTTGAGTTTCATCCTTGGAGATGGGAGGTAATGAAACATAAAATCAAACCTCATGATTTAATCACATACACTTTTGGCTCACCGAAGAAAAATCTTATGTGTAATCGGTTGTATAGATAGACGCAAGTTACAGAGTAATATAGATACATCGAATTTTTAATTTTTTTAGTTGGTGTATTAACTAAATGCAATATTGTGAAAAAAAATTTGGACAGAAAATTCAGAGCCAAGACCAAACGTGCAAGAGATTTACTCCCTTTGGTGGAGGGTCTAGATGCTGTCCTGGATCTGAACTTGGGAAGCTTGAAGTTGCAATTTTTCTCCACCACCTTGTACAGAATTTCAGGTAATTATATAATTAGATTATAATTATAATTATTTTGCAATTTCACAAATATTATGTACTACTTTAAGTATTAGGGCAAAATAAATGTGGAATTAAGTTGATGATCAATAACCAATTTTCTGTATAGGTGGAGGACTGAGGATGATGACCAACCCATAGCGTTTCCATACGTAGAATTTCAAAGAGGCCTGCCACTGCACTTGGAGCATTGCCCTATCAATTGATGTAGGGTGTTTTTTTTTTTTTTTTTGTTGCTCTTTTTCCGACCCCTCTTTCCTTCTCCAACCCTATCCCTCCTTTCCTTATCTGTTTTTTGGTGGCTTGGGATGGGCATTTATCTCACTATTTTTTAGTGGAGCTAGGCTTTTGGTAATATTCCACGTTACATAAGTCTTATATTTTGATAAGTTCTAATTCTGTAAACTTGAATTCCTACTTCCAAAGTTTCTTCACATAAATGATAATACCATGATGATAAGTTTAGTTGTCCTAATTTTCGATCTAACACGATAACACGATACGAATCAAAGATGATATTATAGTAGGACTAATTATTACTAAGCACACTAATTACAAACACATCTGGTTTTTTCCTTATTTTGACATGATTAAAATGGTTTTGTCTCACAACATGATGACTTGGACTATTTGGATAGGGTTCTAAGTTGAACGGTTCGAGAACACATGATTACAAACCCTAGGCAGCCTTTACCACAATGGGGCTCCTTACATAGTGCGTACCATCTGACCATATCAACTTCCCGAACACATAGTTCTTAGCTGCTTTGGCATCTTTAACCTGCAGGAGTAGTTTAAAGCTCTTCTCTTCACCAATTTTCTTGAACTCCAACTCGTTTGGCTCAACAGAAACCGATACACCATCTGGGTTCTGGATACGAGCCTTGTAAGTTCCTGGAGTGCCAACATTTTTCACTGTTCTAGTCACCACAAGGGATCCATTGAGTTTAGGGACAGTGATTGAGGGATAGTTGAGATTAGTGAGACTAATAGCAGGTTTTGGGCACTTATATGTCTCCTCTGAGAACATTTCGATTTGTGTTTCGTTGTATCCATTTGAACATAGAAAGTTCAAGTAATCATTAAGGGACAAGTCATAAACCAAGCCAGGATCCATGGCACAGTTAGGATTAACGTGCCCTGCACCATAACTAAATGGTGTTGCCCTATAGAAAGAAGCATTGAGCACTGGTTCCCTGCTATTATCTTGTGTTGTCGCTGTAAAATACGGGAATAAGGAGAAAACATCAGAAAGAAGGATAATGCTTTCTTACCAGACTATAAGAAAACTTGGCCTATGTTCCTTTCCAAGGAAGATGAGATGAATGGATTAGGGTGTTCTTACCTGTGGTCATGATTGCAGATTTAATAGCTGCAGGGCTCCAGTGAGGATAGAGGGTTTTAAGAAGGCCACAAATGCCGGAAATATGAGGGCACGACATTGATGTGCCTGACACTGAGTTGAACAGAACTCGCCGTTGGTCAAACATTTGATTTGTTGGCCCTTGTGCTTCAGTGTAGGCTGCTATGATACTCACTCCTGGCGCAGTGATATCAGGCTGAATATTCAAAACAAAGGAGCAAAGTATTAAGAGAGTCCAATTCCCTCTGATGAATAGATTTGTGAGATGCTAAAAAAAAACCTTAAGGATGTCTGGTGTGATGGTGTTGGGTCCCTTTGATGAAAATGCTGCCATGAAGGGAGCTGGCTTCGTTCCCAGTTGCGTTGTTGGACGCTTTATGTAAGCCCTGGGAGACCTGTCAAAATAAGTAAACTTTTCAACTAATTCACTGTACCAGTCATAAGGAAGTTAGTTTATATGAATTATTGCAGTTGGGGTGCCAGTTCTTAGCTGGAAAAGGCAATTTAGAAGATACTTCATCCTTTTGATGAAGATGAATTCTTTAGATTTTAAGGCAGGTTCTGTGCATAGGCATGGTTTTGGTGAAATTAAATGATTGTTGGTGGCCTGTCATCTTACTTAGTTGAATTGATGTAAGCAAAGACAAGGGCACCGTCGGTGAAATTGATATGTGAAGCAGGGAGGACATGTGGATCAGAAATAATTTCGTTCCCATTAAGCTCATTGTTAGCAAGAATCATTCCCACGGCGCCAGCCAGTAAGGCTTGCTCACCCTTGTCCACTCTTGCATTGTCTCCTCGAAGGCAGGCCAAGATCTTTCCCTTCACCTTTCTGGGATCAAGTGTGCCAGCCTTGCATAACAGACTGCAGCATCATAAAATAAGCAGATTGCTGAGAGCTTGAATATGGTAGTAGTAAAATGAAAATTAAAAGAACTTGATGTTGTTATTATCCTTACGCTTCTTGAACTGATGCGTTAGCTGCTTTAGCAGCTGCAGCACTAATAAGCCGGTAGAACCTTTTCCCCGGCAAGGCCACAGCCGATAAGCTCTGTCCCTGCAGAACAAAGTAGATACAAATTACAATGGATTTGTGTAGTTTTTCAGGATATGTGATTGAAGTTCCTTTCCAACACCTATAAAAGTGTATGGCATGTCTTATTATTCTGAGCTTCTTGCAACCGTTTGATGAAAATTAGACAGCAAACATTAAGTAACCTTCATCTACTATGCTTAGGATAAAAAGGGACTATATAACCCACCCTGAAGTGCTTCCAGTTTCCAAGGGTGACATAACTGGGGAACTCCCTGTCTATGGTACTAGCACCAACAGTGATCTGCCATGGCGCTATATTGGAGACGGTACCTTCATCTGGACCGGAATTCCCCCCCTTTTATTCACCGGAGGCCAACACACTTTATAAGCTGCAACTCTGGCTTTTGGTGATCCACCCTTTGCTGTTCCATTACCAAACCCAAACACACTTGCCCCAGTTACAAAATTGCCCCCAGCTGTTGACAAGGTGTGAGAGCCATGGCCTTCATTGTCTCTTGGTGAGTCAAAGGAGGAGTTTAGGGGGGCAGAAACTGCAGCAAAGCCCTTGTTGAAGTATCTTGCTCCAATTAGCTTCCTTTCATGCAAAATTTTGTCACCAAATGAGTTACAAGATTCTCTCTATGGATAAATAATTAAATGATAGAATTAATCCAACACAAAGTTCAGAGGGAAAGGTTGCTAAAACCAGTCAAAAGGTGCCCTTATTTTACACAAAAACATGTTCTGAACCTGTCTTCTCTCTCATTATTATAATAATTTGTTTGCTTACTCTACAGAAATGCATCTTGAAAATGAGATCAGATACCATGAGGACCATAAGCAATTGAACCAAAAGAGAACATGTTTGCAGTTTTACTATATATTTTTTCATCTTATTGATGATAAAGGCAGATTTATCTCATCCATTTTTATGCTGTTCTAGGTTTCTAAAACAAGTTTGACTCAGCTTTATGAGAAAGCTGCAAATGGATCCTGCTTTATAGATCCCATTTCACCCCACTACTACTAAAGATGATCATCTTTGTTGGACCATGAATTTGGATATATATATAATAAAAAAAAGGGCCTGACAAAGAACAAAAAAGAGGTTCTCTTTCTTGCTTCAATTTTAACACATTTCAGCAATGAGTTGAGTGTTGTAGAAAAAGCAAGCGGAAAGTAAATCAAACTTCCACAGAAAAGAGGTATAAAATAATGAATACCTGTTGCAGTAAAATTCAGAATCTGTCTCATTTTGGCAGATTCCTTTCCACTTGGATGGAATCTGGAGTGCCAACATTTTTCACTGTTCTAGTCACCACAAGGGATCCATTGAGTTTAGGGACAGTGATTGAGGGATAGTTGAGATTAGTGAGACTAATAGCAGGTTTTGGGCACTTATATGTCTCCTCTGAGAACATTTCGATTTGTGTTTCGTTGTATCCATTTGAACATAGAAAGTTCAAGTAATCATTAAGGGACAAGTCATAAACCAAGCCAGGATCCATGGCACAGTTAGGATTAACGTGCCCTGCACCATAACTAAATGGTGTTGCCCTATAGAAAGAAGCATTGAGCACTGGTTCCCTGCTATTATCTTGTGTTGTCGCTGTAAAATACGGGAATAAGGAGAAAACATCAGAAAGAAGGATAATGCTTTCTTACCAGACTATAAGAAAACTTGGCCTATGTTCCTTTCCAAGGAAGATGAGATGAATGGATTAGGGTGTTCTTACCTGTGGTCATGATTGCAGATTTAATAGCTGCAGGGCTCCAGTGAGGATAGAGGGTTTTAAGAAGGCCACAAATGCCGGAAATATGAGGGCACGACATTGATGTGCCTGACACTGAGTTGAACAGAACTCGCCGTTGGTCAAACATTTGATTTGTTGGCCCTTGTGCTTCAGTGTAGGCTGCTATGATACTCACTCCTGGCGCAGTGATATCAGGCTGAATATTCAAAACAAAGGAGCAAAGTATTAAGAGAGTCCAATTCCCTCTGATGAATAGATTTGTGAGATGCTAAAAAAAAACCTTAAGGATGTCTGGTGTGATGGTGTTGGGTCCCTTTGATGAAAATGCTGCCATGAAGGGAGCTGGCTTCGTTCCCAGTTGCGTTGTTGGACGCTTTATGTAAGCCCTGGGAGACCTGTCAAAATAAGTAAACTTTTCAACTAATTCACTGTACCAGTCATAAGGAAGTTAGTTTATATGAATTATTGCAGTTGGGGTGCCAGTTCTTAGCTGGAAAAGGCAATTTAGAAGATACTTCATCCTTTTGATGAAGATGAATTCTTTAGATTTTAAGGCAGGTTCTGTGCATAGGCATGGTTTTGGTGAAATTAAATGATTGTTGGTGGCCTGTCATCTTACTTAGTTGAATTGATGTAAGCAAAGACAAGGGCACCGTCGGTGAAATTGATATGTGAAGCAGGGAGGACATGTGGATCAGAAATAATTTCGTTCCCATTAAGCTCATTGTTAGCAAGAATCATTCCCACGGCGCCAGCCAGTAAGGCTTGCTCACCCTTGTCCACTCTTGCATTGTCTCCTCGAAGGCAGGCCAAGATCTTTCCCTTCACCTTTCTGGGATCAAGTGTGCCAGCCTTGCATAACAGACTGCAGCATCATAAAATAAGCAGATTGCTGAGAGCTTGAATATGGTAGTAGTAAAATGAAAATTAAAAGAACTTGATGTTGTTATTATCCTTACGCTTCTTGAACTGATGCGTTAGCTGCTTTAGCAGCTGCAGCACTAATAAGCCGGTAGAACCTTTTCCCCGGCAAGGCCACAGCCGATAAGCTCTGTCCCTGCAGAACAAAGTAGATACAAATTACAATGGATTTGTGTAGTTTTTCAGGATATGTGATTGAAGTTCCTTTCCAACACCTATAAAAGTGTATGGCATGTCTTATTATTCTGAGCTTCTTGCAACCGTTTGATGAAAATTAGACAGCAAACATTAAGTAACCTTCATCTACTATGCTTAGGATAAAAAGGGACTATATAACCCACCCTGAAGTGCTTCCAGTTTCCAAGGGTGACATAACTGGGGAACTCCCTGTCTATGGTACTAGCACCAACAGTGATCTGCCATGGCGCTATATTGGAGACGGTACCTTCATCTGGACCGGAATTCCCAGCTGAGCAAACCACCACAATGCCATGCTTAACAGCATGAAAAGCACCTATTGCAGTACTGTCATTGAAGAATGCAGTGGGATCTCCACCCAGTGACACAGACAATACATCAACACCATCATGGATGGCAATATCAAATGCAGCCAATATATCTGCTTCAAAGCATTCACTTCCATTCACTGGAGGCCAACACACTTTATAAGCTGCAACTCTGGCTTTTGGTGATCCACCCTTTGCTGTTCCATTACCAAACCCAAACACACTTGCCCCAGTTACAAAATTGCCCGCAGCTGTTGACAGGGTGTGAGAGCCATGGCCTTCATTGTCTCTTGGTGAGTCAAAGGAGGAGTTTAGGGGGGCAGAAACTGCAGCAAAGCCCTTGTTGAAGTATCTTGCTCCAATTAGCTTCCTTTCATGCAAAATTTTGTCACCAAATGAGTTACAAGATTCTCTCTATGGATAAATAATTAAATGATAGAATTAATCCAACACAAAGTTCAGAGGGAAAGGTTGCTAAAACCAGTCAAAAGGTGCCCTTATTTTACACAAAAACATGTTCTGAACCTGTCTTCTCTCTCATTATTATAATAATTTGTTTGCTTACTCTACAGAAATGCATCTTGAAAATGAGATCAGATACCATGAGGACCATAAGCAATTGAACCAAAAGAGAACACGTTTGCAGTTTTACTATATATTTTTTCATCTAATTGATGATAAAGGCAGATTTATCTCATCCAGTTTTATGCTGTTCTAGGTTTCTAAAACAAGTTTGACTCAGCTTTATGAGAAAGCTGCAAATGGATCCTGCTTTATAGATACCATTTCACCCCACTACTACTAAAGATGATCATCTTTGTTGGACCATGAATTTGGATATAAAAAAAATGGGCGTGACTACAAAGAACAAAAAAGACGCATTCTTTTAAGAATTACAATCATTTCATATTTTCATAAGTTGGCCAAGCCACCACACATAATTGCACCCTCCTTATGTTTTTTTGAGTACAAAAGTCTAAACTAGTGGGGAGGGGGATTTCTCACTCACAGACACACAACTATGATGCTGTGGGAATTCGAACCTGAGATCTCTGATCTGTAAGTCAAGGCTCTTTTACACAGCATTGACTCCTTATGTTAATTATAAAAGAAAGTAATATTAAAATAAATAAAAAAGACAAGAAAAAGACAAGAATCTTTACTAGTTGCAACTTGCAACAGATGTAAATTTTTTCTCTTTTAATGGTGGCCCAGAACTACAAAAACACCTTCAATGAGAGTTATACCCTTAAAATTCAACCTGGCCTAATTAATTATTAGTATATTACTATCAATTAATCCTCTTTTCTGGCATTAAATGGTTATGGGGAGTGGTTTTTCGATTTAACCTTTCTACCAACTCCCAGTACATCCTCTGCCCTGTTTGACGTCTTGTCTTTGGAGTCACGTGGGCATTTGTGGAGAGAAAATCCTCCCCTTTGTCTATTGATTTGATCCTTGAATTAGTAAATCAACGGTTATGATCATTCCTTGAGCCTTTGGAGAAACTAGAAGCTCAGTTTCAATTAAAACCAATTAAATTTGGTTTTTCCAGATTAAATCACCATTAATGGCAATTAATCTTTAACCTGTAAAATTATTTATTGCAATTGGTTCGCAATGGTTTGGGCTTCCAAAACATTCAGGGCTGACTACTGATTTTGGTAAAACAAAGCTCAAGCCACTGTTGTTGACATGAGCCAATAGTCAGATGGGCTTGCGCGTAGAATTTAGGCACAAACAGTGGCCCTGATATGGGAATGGGATACATAAAGCATGAGGCTTCTGATCAGCTACCTCTACAGAAACCATGCCTATCTCTGATCTTGTGAGTTAATATGCAGATTTTACTTGGTGCCTATATATATTGTTGGTTTTTGGAACAAATGTCCAAGTGAAATCTTCATCCTCATTTTCTGGAATTATAATACAGGTTGAGGTGGCATGCCTTTTCTTTTTCTATGGTTTTTGTTTTGAGTATGTGGAGTCGCATTGATGGTGATAACATAAAAAGTAAGTATGAACATGTGCCATGCATTTTTATATGAATTTTTTTTTTAGTATTGATGAAATCAATTGTATTGATAGACTAAATTTTGCACGAGGTCTATTAGATCCAAGTATTATTTAAACTGAGATGTCTACTAGCTCTCAATGTTTGTCATGCTCAATGTTTTGTCATACATACATGGACGTTTATTTAGTGAGCACCTTTGAAATTGGTCAATATCAGCAGCACCACTGAAATGAAAATCAATTTTATAAACATTATTTTGTTGAAAGTAACTGTTGTTGAAATGAGTGATGATAAGTCAACGATCCAGATCAAATTTGTGAGGCACATGGCATTGAGCTGATTGATAAACTTATTTTAGTGCATGAACATGACTTGAAAGTGAAGCAAAATTTTATTAAAATTGACAAAAATAAATAAAATAAATAAATAAAATAAGAAGAAGAAGAAAAACTGACCAGTATCAAGGTTTCCTATGATTGTATCTTCACCATATCTTGCCTTGTTCCAGATTGAGTTGGGTGGAGTAACACCATCATGCTCAAGCCCCAAGAAATCCCATGATCTAGTTGTGTGTAATTTTCTTCCCTGGTTCAAGAAAATGGAGACTACCTTTGGATGCTCTGCAGTGTTTCAATGGAAATCATGAGAAGAACAAGTATACAAAACAGAGGAGAAAGAAGAAGAAGAAGAAAAAAAAGATTCTCACTCACTCACTGGCTATCTGAGCTGCCTCTTCTTCTTCTAATGTGGCAGCAAAGCCATTGATGTGCCTTGTGTATGAGTAAAAGATGGATTCTTTTGCAACTTCATGGCTGCATTTTGTAGACAAATTCAAACATATGATCTCAGAAAGATGGTGTTTATGTATTTTAGTTGTTGGTGCTAAAATGTGTTTAAGTACCTGCCCAAGAAGGACCCAAGAAACTCGTAGTGATTCTCTGTCACTTGGTTCAGTTCAAGTTCTGATAAGTTTGGGGGATGTGAATGTGATCCCAAGTACACCACATATGACTAGAGCAATACAACAGTATAAGCAGGCAAGCAAGTAAGTACATAATGAAATAAAAAATAAAAAATCATGATAGTAGGCATAGCAATGGGAGCTACTTCTTTTTTTCTTGATTTTTTTTAATGGAAGAAAATAAGATTGGATGCTCACCTTTTTGATGGCAAAGGTGGGTCTGTGAAGTACAAGGGAGGAGAGAAGGAAGGACAGGAGGTAAAGAGCTATGGTTGGTCTTGGTGGCCTCATTGCTTGGTTTGGTTGGTTGATTGACCCTTGTTTCTCTCTTGCCCCTTGTGGAAGGCAAACTTTGGGTTTTTATGGTTTTTTTATATATAAAATAAAAACCCTGCTTCCAAATTGCAATGCCCAATGTGGTACAAGTATTATTAGCTTAACTGCATAATGTTATTATTTATTGAAGAATAAATAAAATAAAATAAATTAATGTAACCTTGTGGACCCTATTATGAGAATAATTGATTGAAAATAAACAAAGGATTGGTGGACTGGGGGAATCTGAGTTTTGAACCTCATGTAGCCAAGGATAAAACAGTGAAATTGGCCAATGGGATATTGCCATGTGTAGAAAGGTTGGATATGCTCTTCGATTAGCCAGTCCAATGCAGGCCGATGAAAATGCTATGTACTTAAAATGGAGGGGACCTTATTTGAGCAAATTAGCTATACATGGCTTCATCAAAGCTTAATACAGCCACTAGTGGGAGCTATATATAGCCTTTGTAACAACTTACAAGCATCTTTTTGTGTGAATTGAGGATTTTATAGGTTGGTTGAGTTGGGATTTTATAATAAAGTTCCCTAACCTTGTCCTAAAAAGATCTTAAGGCAAGTTCTGGCTTTCCTAGGTTGGTTGAGTTGGGATTTTATAGATGAGCATACAATTGAATTTAGGAGGAAAAAGACAAATTGAAAGCCATGATTCACTTTCTTGCCCATGGTTAGAATGGGCTGAGCTTGTTTAAAATTCAACCTAAACTACATATGGGTCTCAGACCTAAAAAAAAAAACCTACACATGGATCTAGCTTTTTCTGGACTAACCCAATTATAGTGGTCTACCATGGATCCAACTTCTAACCAATCAGCCTTTGTTGAGAAGATGTATCACTAAACATGAACCCAATGCAACTATTTGGGCATGTTCATCCGTTTTGATTTGCTTCCTGTGATGGTAGGGTAAAATTCCTCATTGGCTTGAAAACCATCGATGGTCAACAAGTCAACTTTTTTTTTCGTGTAAGAACGTGCCACTGCTAGCGGTAAGAACTCTAGCAGACTTCTAAAAAATAGATAACTTGCACCCCAAGTTACTGATTACAAACACATCTGATTTTTTCCTTATTTTGACATGATTTAAATGGTTTTGTCTCACAACATGATGACTTGACTATTTGGATAGGGTTCTAAGTTGAACGGTTCACGTCGGGTCAGGCTTAAACCAGGCTTCTGACCCCTATTCCATTCAACACACAAATGCAAGTCAGAAATAACACCGAATAGTCATATATTTATCAAGTGATCTTGATTTTGATTGCCACTCATTATTGTAAATCATTAGTTTGGTACACAAGAGAGTGGAACTAGGTGAGGTGAGGTAAAATTAGATGAAGCAAATTTTTGCCTACTTCTAGGCAGCCTTTACCGCAATGGGGCTCCTTACATAGTGCTTACCATCTGACCATATCAACTTCCCAAACACATAGTTCTTAGCTGCTTTGGCATCTTTAACCTGGAGGAGTAGTTTAAAGCTCTTCTCTTCGCCAATTTTCTTGAACTCCAACTTGTTTGGCTCAACAGAAACCGATACGCCATCTGGGTTCTGGATACGAGCCTTGTAAGTTCCTGGAGTGCCAACATTTTTCACTGTTCTAGTCACCACAAGGGATTCATTGAGTTTAGGGACAGTGACTGAGGGATAGTTGAGATTAGTGAGACTAATAGCAGGTTTTGGGCACTTATATGTCTCCTCTGAGAACATTTCGATTTGTGTTTCGTTGTATCCATTTGAACATAGAAAGTTCAAGTAATCATTAAGGGACAAGTCATAAACCAAGCCAGGATCCATGGCACAGTTAGGATTAACGTGCCCTGCACCATAACTAAATGGTGTTGCCCTATAGAAAGAAGCATTGAGCACTGGTTCCCTGCTATTATCTTGTGTTGTAGCTGTAAAATACGAGAATAAGAAGAAAACATCAGAAAGAAGGATAATGCGTTTTACCAGACTATAAGAAAACTTGGTCTATGTTCCTTTCCAAGGAAGATGAGATGAATGGATTAGGGTGTTCTTACCTGTGGTCATGATTGCAGATTTAATAGCTGCAGGGCTCCAGTGAGGATAGAGGGTTTTAAGAAGGCCACAAATGCCGGAAATATGAGGGCACGACATTGATGTGCCTGACACTGAGTTGAACAGAACTCGCCGTTGGTCAAACATTTGATTTGTTGGCCCTTGTGCTTCAGTGTAGGCTGCTATGATACTCACTCCTGGCGCAGTGATATCAGGCTGAATATTCAAAACAAAGGAGCAAAGTATTAAGAGAGTCCAATTCCCTCTGATGAATAGATTTGTGAGATGCTAAAAAAAAACCTTAAGGATGTCTGGTGTGATGGTGTTGGGTCCCTTTGATGAAAATGCTGCCATGAAGGGAGCTGGCTTCGTTCCCAGTTGCGTTGTTGGACGCTTTATTTTAGCCCTGGGAGACCTGTCAAAATAAGTAAACTTCTCAATTAATTCACTGTACCAGTCATAAGGAAGTTAGTTTATATGAATTATTGCAGTTAGGCTGCCAGTTTTTAGTCTGGAAAAGGCAATTTTAGAGGTACTTCATCCTTTGATGAAGATGAATTCTTTAGATTTTAAGGCAGGTTCTGTGCTTAGGCATGGTTTTGGTGAAATATAATGATTGCTGGTGGCCTGTCATCTTACTTAGTTGAATTGATGTAAGCAAAGACAAGGGCACCGTCGGTGAAATTGATATGTGAAGCAGGGAGGACATGTGGATCAGAAATAATTTCGTTCCCATTAAGCTCATTGTTAGCAAGAATCATTCCCACGGCGCCAGCCAGTAAGGCTTGCTCACCCTTGTCCACTCTTGCATTGTCTCCTCGAAGGCAGGCCAAGATCTTTCCCTTCACCTTTTTGGGATCAAGTGTGCCAGCCTTGCATAACAGACTGCAGCATCATATAATAAGCAGATTGCTGAGAGCTTGAATATGGTAGTAGTAAAATGAAAATGAAAAGAACTTGATGTTGTTATTATCCTTACGCTTCTTGAACTGATGCGTTAGCTGCTTTAGCAGCTGCAGCACTAATCAGCCGGTAGAACCTTTTCCCCGGCAAGGCCACAGCCGATAAGCTCTGTCCCTGCAGAACAAAGTAGATACAAATTACAATGGATTTGTGTAGTTTTTCAGGATATGTGATGGAAGTTCCTTTCCGACACCTATAAAAGTGTATGGCATGTCTTATTATTCTGAGCTTCTTGCAACCGTTTGATGAAAATTAGACAGCAAACATTAAGTAACCTTCATCTACTATGCTTAGGATAAAAAGGGACTATATAACCCACCCTGAAGTGCTTCCAGTTTCCAAGGGTGACATAACTGGGGAACTCCCTGTCTATGGTACTGGCACCAACAGTGATCTGCCATGGCGCTATATTGGAGACGGTACCTTCAGCTGGACCAGAATTCCCAGCTGAGCAAACCACCACAATTCCATGCTTAACAGCATGAAAAGCACCTATTGCAACACTGTCATTGAAGAATGCAGTGGGATCTCCACCCAGTGACACAGACAATACATCAACACCATCATGGATGGCAATATCAAATGCAGCCAATATATCTGCTTCAAAGCATTCACTTCCATTCACTGGAGGCCAACACACTTTATAAGCTGCAACTCTGGCTTTTGGTGATCCACCCTTTGCTGTTCCATTACCAAACCCAAACACACTTGCCCCAGTTACAAAATTGCCCGCAGCTGTTGACAGGGTGTGAGAGCCATGGCCTTCATTGTCTCTTGGTGAGTCAAAGGAGGAGTTTAGGGGGCCAGCAACTGCAGCAAAGCCCTTGTTGTAGTATCTTGCTCCAATTAGCTTCCTTTCATGCAAAATTTTGTCACCAAATGAGTTACAAGATTCTCTCTATGGATAAATAATTAAATGATGGAATTAATCCAACACAAAGTTCAGAGGGAAAGGTTGCTAAAACAAGTCAAAAGATGCCCTTATTTTACACAAAAACATGTTCTGAACCTGTCTTCTCTCTCATTATTATAATAATTTGTTTGCTTACTCTACAGAAATGCATCTTGAAAATGAGATCAGATACCATGAGGACCATAAGCAATTGAACCAAAAGAGAACACGTTTGCAGTTTTACTATATATTTTTTCATCTAATTGATGATAAAGGCAGATTTATCTCATCCAGTTTTATGCTGTTCTAGGTTTCTAAAACAAGTTTGACTCAGCTTTATGAGAAAGCTGCAAATGGATCCTGCTTTATAGATACCATTTCACCCCACTACTACTAAAGATGATCATCTTTGTTGGACCATGAATTTGGATATAAAAAAAATGGGCGTGACTACAAAGAACAAAAAAGAGGTTCTCTTTCTTGCTTCAATTTTAAGTTTTAACACATTTCAGCAATGAGTTGAGTGTTGTAGAAAAAGCAAACAGAAAGTAAATCAATCTTCCACAGAAAGTAGGTATAAAATAATGAATACCTGTTGCAGTAAAATTCAGAATCTGTCTCATTTTGGCAGATTCCTTTCCACTTGGATGGAATTGGTCCATACCCTTCATCACTAAAGCTCTTGGACTCTGGCCATGCGCCTACAATCCCATTCAACCACAGTGAGGCTAAAAAGAATGCTCAACAGCAAAGCAATGCGCATTCTTTTTAGAATTACAATTATTTCATATTTTCATCAGTTGGCCAAGCCACCACACATAATTGCACCCTCCTTATGTTTTTTTGAGTACAAAAGTCTAAACTAGAGGGGAGAGGGACTTCTCACACACAGACACACAACTATGATGCTGTGGGAATTCGAATATGAGATCTCTGATCTATAAGTCAATGTCCTTTTACACTGCGTTGGCTCCTTATGTTAATCATAAAAGAAAGTAATAAAAAAAAAAGACAAGAATCTTTACTAGTTGCAACTTGCAACAGACGTAATTTTTTTTTCTTTTAATGGTGGCCCAGAACTACAAAAATAGCTTCAATGAG